CGGTCCCCCAGCAGCCAGCATCGATAGACCCTCCTGCACTCCTTGCCATTACATACATCCAGTGACCGCCGTGATTCGCTGTCATGGCGGTCACATTATCGGAAAAGGTCCCAATTGAAAGGGGAGATCGGGAACTTTCCAGGAGTAGCGGAGCTCTCAGCACATTTGTATTTTTTAATTGCACGCAAATATGTGGCCGCTCAGCATCAAGGCCCAGACCTCAAAAGGTCGCATATTTGCGTGTGCTCGACGTCAAGGGGTAAATATCTAAAGTTCATTGTACACTACTGCCATGTGTTCTGTGTCCTTGAGAGGCAGGCTCCAACCTCCTGCAAGATGAATGAAATCCTAAAAACTTGACCTGTTGGTAGATACTTAAATCTAAACTGGAAAATATGTAAGTACCTAAATTTGACTTGGTATTAGCCTCTTGCAGTCCCTGTACAGTACATTAGGACTGAAGAGTGAGAGGGAGAAGCAAACCAGTTCATGTGCTGACAATAAGCATGAGAGGAGAGAGCAGACAGACTCATCACTCATGGACTCATCACTGTGCTGCTTCTCCTTTCACTGTCCAGTCACAGATTTGGGACAGTTGCAGGATGACCTTGGCTCGGGGAAAGTGGGGTAATGATTCTGCCTGTCAGACTGAGGGCGTCTTATGGCGGAAAAGAAGTAGTGCTGGTGAAAGCTTCAGATTGTAAGCAAAATTGTAACAAAAGCTGTTTTTTTTTTTTTTTAATCATTTTAATGGACAATTAATTTTTATCTTGTTATTTTGGGCTGGAGTTCTGTTGTAAAAACTGGACTTTCTGAGCCCTGTTGGAGACCATACATCTGTGTACTTTTTAAAGGATCATCCTACCAAAACCTAAATTTCAGCTGTTGGTAAATGCTGGAAACCACCTGGCTGTTTGTTCTTTCTCTTGGGGACGCTATTGGTGAGAATTCGGCATGGAGTTCCCGGGTCTGCACACTTGCTGCACCCATTATGAGGGGTTCCCACCATCCTGGATGGATTTTGATATATTTTATATAATGAATAATGTACCAGGAGGAGCAGGACCTGGATTTTTTTTACCAGCAAAATCCATGTGCATTTATTATTTATTTCAAACGGTGAACTTGGCCTTTAAATCCTGGTGACCGGGAAGCTTTATGTCAGTCTCCCATCTGAATTTTGTTCTTGTTTGAAGAGTGAATCTCTGAGTCTGATCATAACTTGTCCTCTCTTGCTGTCCAAACTAAACTTGATTTTGTGCCCTGTTTAATATAACACACTTAGTAAACATCAATGTCCATTACATCACTTGCAAGAGCGCAGGTTTTAGAATGATTTAATGAAGTGCGCTGGCGCTTATCGAAGCCACAGAGAGGTGCTGGATTACAGCGGGTAGATTATTAATAATAGTTGATATACACAGACATGTCTCCCTTGTGTCTCATTCTGGCACCAGGCGACTGCCTGGTCTTTCATATGACTCTTGGATGTACATATCAGCTCCGGGATCTGAATAGTTTCATGTGGCTTTCATTGCCGTTTCCATACTGTAAATTGTCCCTGCTGTGCCCACAAAGAAATACACATATAATATACATTTTATTAATGGCCGACTCCACCCAAGATATTTCAGGTTTGCCTGGTGGCTGCCAAGTTGGGTTGCATGCTTACCTTTTATGAGCTTTGTGCATGAGGAACGTTCAGGATCTAAATGTCAAATGTGCTTGAACAGAGTAAAGGGTCACCATGACTGATATATGATTCAAAGTGAACCTGTGGCCAAGCTGTGGACATTTTAAAGAAGTACAGCCAAAGCTATTTTGGCTGTACGTCTCCTGTGGATCACAGGCATGCACTTTGTTTTGCACTCCTGTAACCCATCAGTAACGGAACCGACCCCAGACTGCACTTGGGTACTTCCGTTAGACACCCGCTTATCTGTCTGAACACCGACAACAGACACCACAGCAGACCATACAAGACTAGACAACACCAGTCTTGATGTAACCCAGAAGGTAGACTAGTTTATTTTAACACAGATACAGATACTCACTCAAGGGACAGTACCCCCTCCCTGCATAATGACACAGGGTGGGGCAAACTACATTTAGTAACAAGAGACACACCAACAGACAGTCCCATCAGGATGGCTGCTGGAGACACCCCCCCCCCCCCCCACCAAGCCAATACCCATAAACACATCCATCCCATAATAGTTTCCTCCCAAGCAAGACACGCGTGATCCAATTTTTGCTCCTGCAGGGAGAAAAATTCATTCCTGATCCCCTGAGAAGCAATCTGATATTCCCTGGATCAACGTTACCTATAAATGTTATATCCAGTTATATTCTGTGTATCTAAGAAACAGTCCAGGACTTTTTGAAGCAATCCACTGAGCTGGCCACAACCAACTCTTGAGGGAGTCTATTCCACATTTTCACATCTCTCACTGTGAAGAAACCTTTCCGTGTTTGGAGATTACATTTCTTTTCCTCCAGACGTAAAGAGCCCCCCTTGTCCTCTGTGATGACCTCAGGGTGAATAACTACACCGAGTTCACTATATGAACCACTGATGTATTTATACATGGAGATCATATCCCCCCTTATGTATTATACATGGAGATCATATCCCCCCCTTATGTATTATACATGGAGATCATATCCCCCCCTTATGTATTATACATGGAGATCATATCCCCCCTTATGTAATATACATGGAGATCATATCCCCCCTTATATATTATACATGGAGATCATATCCCCCCTTATGTATTATACATGGAGATCATATCCCCCCCCTTATGTATTATACATGGAGATCATATCCCCCCCCTTATGTATTATACATGGAGATCATACCCCCCCCCCCTTATGTATTATACATGGAGATCATATCCCCCCTTATGAATTATACATGGAGATCATATCCCCCCTTATGTATTATACATGAAGATCATATCCCCCCCCTTATGTATTATACATGGAGATCATATCCCCCCTTATGTATTATACATGGAGATCATACCCCCCCTTATGTATTATACATGGAGATCATACCCCCCCTTATGTATTATACAAGGTGATCATATCCCCCTATGTATTATACATGGAGATCATATCCCCCCTTATGTATTATACATGGAGATCATATCCCCCCTTATGTATTATACATGGAGATCATATCCCCCCTTATGTATTATACATGGTGATCATATCCCCCCTTATGTATTATACATGGAGATCATATCCCCCCTTATGTATTATACATGGAGATCGTATCCCCCCTTATGTATTATACATGGAGATCATATCCCCCCTTATGTATTATACAAGGTGATCATATCCCCCCTTGTGTATTATACATGGAGATCATATCCCCCCTTATGTATTATACATGGAGATCGTATCCCCCCTTATGTATTATACATGGAGATCGTATCCCCCCCTTATGTATTATACATGGAGATCATATCCCCCCCTTATGTATTATACATGGAGATCATATCCCCCCTTATGTATTATACATGGAGATCATATCCCCCCTTATGTATTATACATAGCTGATCTCCCCCTCTTATCAGTTTGGTTGCCCTTCTCTGTACTCTCTCCAGTTCCCCAATGTTCTTTTTGTGAATTGGTGCCCAAAACTGAACTGCATGTTCCAGATGAGGTATTACTAATGATTTGTACCGGGGAAATTATATTTCTGTCTCTCTGGAGTCTATACCTCTTTTAATACAAAGGATTTTGCTCGCTTTAGAACCCGCAGCTTGGTATTGCATGCCATTATTAAGCTTATGATCTACCAGAAACCCCAGATCCTTCTCCACCATTGACCCCCCCCCCCCGTTGTACCCCCCCCCCAGTATGTATGATGCATGCATATTCTTAAAAAACTCTGTTTCTGTGTTACTTTACCATGAATTTTTGCATGCATAAAAGTGTGTGCGAAGGTGCTGTCAAGTATTCATGGCATTGCCGCGCTCCTGCAAAAGGGCTGCATATTTTCACAACGCAGAAATGTGAACTTGGCCTAAATGATTTCAGATTTCTGTCTGCAATAAATTATAGCAGACTATAATAGTTTGTTATTGAGGAGTCACTGTGAGACATCGACCAGCCAAGTATTGTTCAAAGAGGATGAGAATATTCCATTCTGTGGTCACATGTTACCGGTTCATTCTGTGTTTGGCTCCTTTTAACTTAATTTCTGTAAATGGAGAATATAGCAACAGGTAAGGAAAAGTGTTCCTTTCATACCACATCTACATACTCCTTATTTCTTCGTGTGATATCGACACCTCATGTCAGATGAAATCGCAAGTCCTAATTGTAAGTCTCCTTGTGGGTGAAGACTTCCATCCAGAGCAAACTGTGTTTTTCAGAAAGAGTTGAGAGATTTACAGCTGAGGTCTGGATAGATGGCATGTTGGATAAAAGACAGGAGACAGCGCTGGACTCATTTGTTTATTTTGGAAATTGATTCACCCCAGTGAAAATCTTCTGGGTGTGTTCTGTCATATACATGCCATTATTGTTCTACCATCATCTTCTGCTGTAATTCTGCCCCTGTGCTGTGGTCTGCCTGAAATGCTTCCCCCATTAACGACAAAACTCTGCTCTGAACGAAAACTTTTCTGCTGTTTCTTGTGACTGATCAGTTTAGATCTGGAAATAAACACTAATAGCAAATTTGTCTAAGACTAGGTTCATAGAGCTGTGCTCAAAAGTTTGCATACCCTGGCAGAAATTGTGAAATTTTGCCATTGATATTGAAAACATGACTGATCATGCAAAAAAAAATGCTTTTATTGAAGGATGATGATCATATGAAGCCATTTATTATCAAATAGTTGTTCGGCTTCTTTTTAAATCCTAATAACAGAAATCACCCAAGTGGTCCGGATCAAAAGTTTCCCTCCCCTGGAATGTTTGGCCTTGCTACAGACACACAAGGTGACACACACTGTCTTTTTTTTTTTTTTTTTTTTTTTTTTTTTTTTTTCCCAGAGCAGTCTGTATTTTTCTTGTGGTTACTTATGGGTTTCCCTTTGTATCACAAACAATTCTTCAGTCAGTTGCGGCTGCAATCTTTCTTGGTCTACCTGTACTTGGCTTAGTATCAAGAGATCCCAGAACTTTCCACTTCTTAATAGATGATTTAACAGTACTGATTGGCATATTCAAGGCCTTCAAAAATAAAATAAAAGTGCAGCGCTAAGTAATAAATCTGAAAATTGTCCCCTGTAAGTCCAGTTCATATAAATGTGCCAGGTGACAAATGGAAATCCACAATGGTGATCCGTGAGGTAAGTAGCAGAAATGCGCACTCACCAGAAGGCGGATATATATATAAGCAGTATATATCAAAAGCTGATGGATCCTTGGTCAAGAAGAAACAGGTCTGGTCACTGTGGCTTGGCCTTTCCTTTCCTCAAGGGTGCAGAGCAAAATTCTTCCTCCTCTCAGGTGGATGGTTGAATTCCTAATAAGGACTCTGCAAAGAGGTACTCCTGGGTGACCTGAGCAGGCACAGCAATAGACAGCACTCTGCAGACTCCACACACAGCTCAGCCCTTCCACTTCCTGGGGAAGTTCCCAGGAAGTGGAAGGGCTGAGCTGTTCCTGGGGACGGCACATTTCTGCAGACTCCACACACAGCACTGTGAATGAAATGTGCCGTCCCCAGGAACAGCTCATCCCTTCCACTTCCTGGGAACTCTGGTGAGTGCGCATTTCTGCTACTTCCTCACGGATCACCATTGTGGAATTTCCATTTGTCACCTGGCACATTTATATGAACTGGACTTACAGTGGACAATTTTCAGATTTATTACTTAGCGCTGCACTTTTATTTTATTTTTGATATTCTGTATAAGTATTTATTGGTTACTTAGAGTGCTTAGCTGCTTTCCGGGATCAGCGCTCACTTTTTCCATTTTCTATATTCAAGACTTTGGATATCTCTTTATGTCCTTTTCCATCTTTATAACGGTCCATTACCTTGTTACGCAGGACTTTTGACAGTTCTTTTCTGATCCCCATGGCTCAGTATCTAGCCTAGTCAGTGCTTCCACATAAGAGCTAACAAACTCATTGACTATTTATACACTGACACTAATTACAATTTAAAAAGCCACAGATGTGGGACATTAACCTCTAATTGGCATTTTACCCGTTTGTGTCACCTTGTGTGTCTGTACCAAGGCAAAACATTCCAGGGGGCGGAGACTTCTGATCCGGGCCATTTGGGTGATTTCTGTTATGATTTAAAAAGGAGTCAAACAACTATAGGGGGGCGCCCTGTTTGACATCACAGCGACCATTACAGGGCAGCTAGGAAGTACTGCATATAGTTTGACCCATTGGGAACTAAACCCTGTAAAATAAAAATAGTGATACTTCTATTTTATCAAGAGGAGGTTACTTTTGTGTCCTTCATAGAGAGAAAAAATTTAAATTGAAGTATGACCGAGGGTTTTTGGTTACACTTCTCTTCTGGGTTCTAGGTGTGCACTTGTGACGTGGAATGACCCAGGTTATTGCCCACTGTCAGCTGAAATCACAGAGCCAATCCAGGCTCTAAAAGGATCCCGAGAATATTGTCGGGATCCACCCAGCTGCCTGATTGACAGCTGGCTCTGGTTCTCAGCACGTGGCTGAGAGCCAAAGCCAGCTGCACTTGCCCCCTGTTGAGCTTGATGCTCCAGTAAGCGCTTAAGGGGTAGAGTGGAGAGCAATGACTGACACTCAGTTCTCTTCACTCTGAGCATACCAAAAACTGTGAGTGATCAATGGTAATGTGATCGCTCAGTTTTCGGTCTTAGAGCCGATATTGGACAGCTGCAGCATAGAGGTGAGTATGCATGTTTTGTTTTGTTTGTTTTTGGGTTTTTTTTGTGTTTTTTTTTCTATTCCCATACTTCTCCTCCTTTTAGACTAGAGTGGTGCACACCAAGGTCTTTTCTGACTATTGATTCTTGTAGTAGGCACATTGCTGTACCTGTTGTTTGACAGAGAAAATTAAATGTATTGTGGCTTACCAGTCCTTAGATGTAGCGGTTGTATTAGTTTTCTTTTTTCAGGTTTTGTTTCCTTTATTTTCACCTGGTGATCCTGCTAGTAACACACTTCTTGTCCTAGGGTGACAAGACTCACGGTTTTGTACCTGCAAAGGAGCAGCAATGTTGCCCTGGGACAGACTTGCAGAACACACCCCTCTCTTCGTTTCTGTAGAATATTGAGGGGAGGTATTCTGTAGTATTTTGGAATAGTTGGGAACGATGTAACTGGAAATGTCGCCGCAGAGAGTAGGAAGTTGTGGCAGAATTTACATGGGTGCCATTCAGAGAATGTTTTGCATTTTTTCAATAACTGCAAAGCATTTCAATAAGTGAAGACCACCATAAATAGCGCTCACTAATGAGATGCAATTCAATCCCCAAAATTGTGTGAAATATAAAATAGAAAATTCATAAATATAAATAATACATAAACAATAAAAAAAAATAAATGAATAAATAATAAATAACACTTCCACCAAACAGTGCAAAAGTGAAAAAATATCAGTTCATAATATAAAATAAAGTCCAAATCTTTCTTTCAAAAAGTATCCACCACAACCGTGATCTCCGATGTGCTCAACACCCCAACAAAAAGTGCAAACTCACCAGATGCTGGTGATTAATCAGCATTAAATCAGATACCAATAGATGTGGAAATTCATTAAACCAGATACCCCCCCTTAGACTAAAACTCACATTGTATGAAAGTGGTGACGTCACTGCTGATCAAGGGCGTGATCAGCAGTGACGTCACCACGCACACCGCGAGCACGTGGCTGGACCATGTGACCGCTACTGCGAGATTTGTTATCTAGAGAGCGGGTGGTGAGATGCACACTGAAATAGCTAGCGGTTTCACTGCAGCTACACCTATCGTTGAATGCTTTTTGTACTTTTATACAATGTGAGTTTTAGTCTAAGGGGGGTATCTGGTTTAATGAATTTCCACATCTATTGGTATCTGATTTAATGCTGATTTAATCACCAGCATCTGGTGAGCTGCACTTTGATGGGGTGTTGAGCACATCTGAGATCGTGGTTGTGGTGGATACTTTTTGAAAGAAAGATTTGGACTTTATATTATGAAATTTTATTTTTTTTTTTCTCACTTTTGCACTGCTTGGTGGAAGTGTTTGTTTATTTTTATATTTTTTTATTGTTTATGTATTAATTATTTATGAAATTTCTATTTGTTTTTATATTTCACACAATTTTGGGGATTGAATTGCATCTCACTGAGTGCTGTTTATGGTGGGCTTTACTTATTTATGCTCTTTTTTTTTTTTTTTTTTTTTTTGAATTTTTTTAAAATGGCAGCACAGTTTGAGTTATGTTATTGATATAAAGTCTCAAATTGTTTGCGCGGTGATCTAGTGTGTGTGTGTATGTATGTGTATATATATATATATATATTTTATTTTTTTTTTTTTTAAATGCAAAGCATTCTATGATTGAGTGATGTGGAGAGCTTGACATCGCTGTCCCGCTTCTCCACCTCATCCAATCAGAGAATACTTTGCATTCACTGAGAGAATGCAAAGTGTTCCCTGAATGGTGCCCGTGGTGAGCAAGCGACCTACTTTGTTAGCAATGCAGCTGCTCGGTACGAGACTCAGAACCTAAATCACGGTAGTAGCGGTGTAGTAGGGGTGTCTACTACAGTCATTTCCTTGTAAAAATATCTATATCTGAAGTTCTTCTTTAACAAAACACTTTGTTATATATTTGACAGACCAAAATTGAGAGAGAGAACTACATTGTTGGGGTTTTATACACAAGCGGACAGGTTCACTTTAAATAGAAATTCCTTTGCCGTCCCATGGGTGTTCCTATATCTCTTCTCATTTTTAATGTATTTTTAGAGAAAACTATGGCCTTCCCTCCTCCACTTGCATCCCGATCAGTGTCATCCCAACATTAATCTCTGCAGCTGCAGGACAATAAATAACTTTTTCTCAATAAATTTATTTAAACTTTTGGAATTTAGAGGGGAAAAAAAAATAAAATCTCACCCCACCTGAAAGAGCAACTCCTCTGCCTCTCCGTTCCTGCAGCCCTGTGTAACCGCATACCACGTCGGATTATTTCAATGATCTGTTTATTTGCCTTACAGTTTGTATCAGGCCTACGTGCCTAAGATTCCTCCAGCACGATCTGATTTCAGAACAGCCGGCGCAGTAAAAAAGGGGGGAAGAGAGTTTCTGGCTTTCTAAATAGGGGTTTTATTTAAAGACTTTTATCTGCTAGAACTTCCTGATGAATAGCAGAAAATAATTGGTGTTTTTATAAGAAGAAGATAGCGGCACAGCTGGAAGGTGCTTTTTCAGATTTTCTCCAACAAAAAAAAATAAAACCTGATAGTTGTCCCTTATCCATTTTTAGTTATGTCTAGTTGTCCTGGACCCATTTTGTACTGTTACATATGCTTTTATTTTGCCAGGGGAGGGTTAGAGCCTTGGACCTTGGGCCCCAACAGCCAATAATTGGAATTGTGCTTATTTGTACAGGCTCATGCACAGTGCCATACGGAGTTTACAAACGCTGTACTCATGTAATGTTTATGTACTGTTCACATGGCTACAGGTGTACAGTGTAATGCAGACTATTGGTTGCTAGGATGCAGGCAGCTCCTGCTGCCTAGCATCCTGGTTGACTAGCATACAGGTGGCTAATTTCACCTTGCATCCTTAGTATCTTGGCAGCAGATGGTTCCTTCTGTCTAGTGTCCTAGGTTGCTAGGATGCTGGCAGCTCCTGCTGCCTAGCATCCTTGGTTTCTAGGACACAACTGGCTCTTTTCACCTGGGGTTCTTTGTTGTTAGGCAGCAAATGGTTCCTGCTGCCTAGCGCCCTAGGATGCAGGCAGCTCCTGCCACCAAGCATACTTGGTTGCTATAATGCAGGTGGCTTTTGCTAGCGATCCTAGTTGTTAGCATACAGGTGGCTCCTGATGAGTTCAGATCTGTAGAAAAAAAAAATTACGCGTTGTGGATCTAACCGCAGAGCTTCAAAAGGGCTGTAATGACACTGATATAAAATGTGCCCAGTCTCTCCTACAGCATATATTCAGTCTCTGACCATCTCCACCTACACTATATTGCCAAAAGTATTGGGACGCCTACTTTTACATGTACATGAACTTTAATGGCATCCCAGTCTTCGTCCGTAGGGTTCAATACTGAGTTGGCCCCGCCCTTTGCAGCTATAACAGCTTCAACTCTTCTGGGAAGGCCGTCCACAAGGTTTAGGAGGGTGTCTATGGGAAGGTTGGACCATTCTTCCAGAAGCCCATTTGTCAGGTCAGGCACTGATGTCGGGGGAGGAGGCCTGGCTCGCAGTCTCCGCTCTAATTCATCCCAAAGGTGTTCTATGGGGTTGAGGTCAGGACTCTGTGCAGGACAGTCAAGTTCCTCCACCCCAAACTGGCTCCTCCATGTCTTTATGGACCTTGCTTTGTGCACTGGTGCGCAGTCATGTTGAAACAGGAAGGGTCCACAAAGTTGGGAGCATGAAATTGTCCAAAATGTCTTGGTATGCTGACACCTTAAGAGTTCCCTTCACTGGAACGAAGGGGGCCAAGCCCAACCCCTGAAAAACAACCCCACACCATAGTCCCCCCTCCACCAGACTTTACACTTGCCACGATGCAGACCGGAAAATACCATTCTCCTGGCAACTGCCAAACCCAGACATATCCATTATATTGCCAGACAAATGTGATTGGTCACTCCAGAGAACACTTCTCCACTGCTTTAGAGTCCAGTGACGGCATGCTTTACACCATGGCATCCGACGCTTTGCACTTGGTGATGGAAGGCTTGGATGCAGCTGCTCGGCCATGGAAACCCATTCCATGAAGCTCTCTACGCACTATTGTTGGGCTCATCTGAAGGCCACACCAAGTTTGGAGGTCTTTAGCTATTGACTGTGCAGACAGTTGGCAACTTCTGCGTACTGTGTGCTTCAGCATGCGCTGTCCGCG